GGGCTAATAACAGCATGTACATCACAGGGTTGAGGATCTATTAAGATCATATATGTAAAGTGCTTCATAGACCTTAAAGGGCTATAAGAAATCAGCTAGGAATTAATGTTGCTATATTTATGTCATTTTGAATAGTTTAAATATTTATTCATTTTGCTTGTCGCTATAACCTCCCCACTTCGCTAACTTTCCTTTGTACATTTTTGGATGACGTTTAATCGTGCAAATTTTTTAGGGGTTTTTTGCTTATTGCCTACAGGTTCTCCCCGAAATGTTGGTGGGCCCTTGGTACCTCCAATAATACCAGAAGCAGTGAGCCAGGCCATACCTGATCTATCACCTTCCCTGTCCCATCTTTGCTCTGATCTTCCTTCTTCCCTCCTTTATTTCTTCCTTCCTCCCCTTTTCTTTAATGAAAAAGAAATCAGGACAGAAAGAATGAACACACAGGTGACAGAACGTCAGAACTGGAAGGGATAGACCTTTAGGCTGGGAGGGACTGACTGTAAGGGGAGGGAGGTACTTGAAAAATCCTAATAACTGACATGTGTAGGCACTCGACAGGGGAGGGGAACCTGTGGCCTCCAGGCCACATACAGCCCTCTAGGTCCTCAAGGACGGCCCTTCGACTGAATCCAAAGGATTGAAGGCGGCAGGTTCCCCACTTCTGCACTAGAAGGTTAACAAAGCATCATTTGCTTCCTCAGAGCAACTTTCTAAGGTAGGTCCTCCAGATAGTTAAAAAAAAAATATTTTGTTGTATTTTTATTTATTTTATTGAGTAGTTCCCAACGCCTCCCTGACAGCCATCCCTTAGGATAATTAGTACTTTTTAGGGACAGAAAAAAAATACCAAAAAAAGATCTATTTTTAAAAAGTCTTGAAAACACGTGCAACGTGTAACCTCTATGGACCGCCCAACTCCACGAAGGGGTAGCTTCTTCCTGGTATTCTTAGTCCCATTTTCAGGTTGTGAAAACTGAGGCTCAGTTGAGTGACTTGCCTATGGTCATTCAAAAAGCAACCTGCATCTATTAAGCTCTTACTATGCGCCAGGTACTGTGCAAAGCACATTACTGAGGCTAGTCCCAACGGCCCCTTTACTGGTCTTCCTGCCTCCCTCTTTCACCTCTCCCAAGATAATCTTTCTCATATATACATTTCTGCTCCAACACCTTTCTTACTGAGACCAACTTCTATTCCTCTGCCAGGTTTTCAAGGTCTCTCCCTACCATTCACACTCACCTCATCTCACTCCCCTTCAATCCCCATTTTTCCCCACCCTGAGGCACTGTTGTTCTGTTGTTTGATTATTGTCAGTGACCCCATTTGGGGTTTTCTTGGCTGAGATACTGGAGTGGTTCGCCATTTCCTTCTCCAGCTCATTGTACAGATGAGGAAACCGGGGCAAGTGGGTTTAAGTGACTTGTCCAGAGTCACACGGCCAGTAAGTGTCTGAGACCAGATTTGAACTCGGGGAGATGAGTCTTCCTGACTCCAGGGTGAGCACTCTGCACTGTGCCACCGAGTTGCCCCAACCCCGGGTATGCTCAGGTCCAATTCCCTACACCTGCACTACCCTCCCTCTCCACTGGTCAGAGTGCTTTCCATCCTTTAATGCCCAATCCCAGTGTTCCTTGGTTGACCTTTCCCCTCCAACGTTCTGGTCAAGGGCTCAGGGCTGGAAGGGGTCTGTGGCCATGCCCTGTTGTCCGACCCCAGGACTTTGCAAATGAGGACCAGAGAGGTCACACGGTGTGGGCCTCAGAGGTAGGATCTTACCGTAGGTTCTGTCTCCAGGGCCAATCTTCTATCCACTAATCCATGCTGAGTCCTTTGGTTCAGAAGGTTTCTAAAGCAACTGTCGTGTGTGTGTTATAGTCTTATTTTCCTGCTGGGCTACGGACTTCTCCAAGGCAAAAACTGTCCCTCCAAATGTGCACCTCTCTCCTGTGCCTGGCACACTGTTGGGAATACAGGAGACCCTGGATAGTTTTTCTTCTATCGGTTTTCATTCTCATGGCTACAGGCCTGGGTCACCATCATATGACTGAAAGGCCCCTGCAGCCTCCAAGGTGACTCCCATATTCATCGGCAAGAATTCTTTCCCTTTCATATCTGGATCCTGCCCTGCACCTGTTCAGATCTGGCCTTCCACGCGCTCCATCCCCTCTTACCTCCAATGGAGCCATTTCAGCCCCCTCTCCCCCGGCGGCCCTCTGCTTCATTTCTCTTTCTCCTGACGCTGGATGCCGGGGCACACCATCTTACTTCACTCAGATCTTCTTTCTCACGTCGTCAGTGACTTTGTTTTACCAACTTGGCCAGCATGTGATTTTTGCCTCCGTTCCAATAATTAACTTTCCAAAACTTAGCGACTCTTACCAACACAAGGACCAAGCAAGGTTAGGGATGAAGTCTGGAGGCGAGATCCCCTTCCAGCTAGAGCTGATGGACTCAGTTTAGAGGGAGAAATTTTTGTTACGGCCATGGCCAATGTGGGAATTTGTTTTGCCCGACTACATGTTTTAACAGGAGTTTTATTTTTCTTGCTTGGGGAGAGGGAGGAGGGAAGGAGGAGGAGCACAGAAGAAAGAGAAAAAGTTGAAATTAATTAAAAATGTTTTTTTTAATTTAAAAAACAAACAGAAAACATGCTTAGATTTTTCTCCTGAATTCCACCTGGCTCTTGTTCAGTCTCAGGCCAGAAGGAACCATTCTAGCACTGATGCCTACTTTAGGTTCTGATGCCCTGTTTTTTGGTGCATGCGTCTGGACACATGTCAAAATCATAGAACTGCAATGTCAGAGTTTCCCACTGGAATACCAAAGCTGGGGAGGACCCCAGGATCTAGAATGGGAGAGCCTGGGGCAGGGGGAATCTTAGACTAGAGACTGTCAGAACTGGGAGTGACTCTAGAACACAGAATGTTAGAGCTAAGAAGGAACCTAAACAGAGGATTCAGAAGTGGGAGGGACCCTAGAACAGCCACTGTCAGACTGCCCCTAGAACTCAAAATGTCAGGGCTGGGAAGGACCCTAAAACAGACATCGTCAGACCTAAAAGGAAGAGAATGCCAGATCTTTGAGAGACCTTAGAACTCAGAATGTCAGAGTTGTGATGGACCGTTAGGCCCCAATTCATCAGAGCTAAAAGGAACCTGGAAGGAATTATGTAAGAGATGAGAGGGATCCCCAGAACAGATAATATGAAAACTAGGAGAGATCCCTGAACGGAATGTCAGAGCAGAGAGGGGCCCAGAATATCAGGACCTTAGAATAGGGATTCCCAGAGGCCTTTGGCAGCCTAACCCCTTCTCAGGATAACACCTTCAAATGCATTAAAATAAAACACATAGAACCGCAAAGGAAACCAAACAATCTATGTTTTTAAATTCATGGACCCAGATTAAGAACACCTGCCTTGGTGCACAGAGCTGGAACTAAAACCAGGAATGTTAGAATGACCTTAGAGCTCACCTAGACCAATCTCTACTTTATTGCCGAGTTCGAAAGGGATCACTAGAGCGGGAAACGACTGCATTGAGGTCAGCCTAGGAGCAAAACTGAATTAGGAGCTAACTCGGCGTTCAGATTTCTTTCCTCGACATCCTTGCTTTCCTCCTGGTCCATCTATCAGACGGTAAATTTCTCCCGGAGAGGAGGCCAATCTTTGTTGACTTCCTGGGGCGCCCGGCATCCCTAGCCCCACCACCTTTCCCATGCCCTGAAAGCGCAGTGCTCAGCACGCTCTCTCACATCTACGCCCCGCGAACCCCCTCCCTGACGCACACGCCACCCCCGCCCCCAGCCGGGGCTCCCACAGCAGGCGCCGGGTGCTCGCTTCGTGCGGACGCGCAGCCTCCACCCTGGCTGAGGGCACCCACAGCCCAAGGCAGAGCAGCAGCCCCCAGTGGCCAGCCACAGGCGAGCCCAGCCCGGGGAGGGCGCCAGGCTCTCCGAGGAGCCGCCGGCAAGGGCCGGTCCCGGGCCGGTCCAAACGGACAAGCTCCGGGTGGTTCCTGCCCCGCGGCTGTCCCGGCCGCTGGGGTGGCAGGGAAAGAGAGAGCGCTCTGAGCGAAGACACAGAGACGGAGAGGGTGGGGAGGGGGCGCTCGCTCCACGCGCCCCCCTCCCTCCATGTCCCACGTAAACACACGGGACGCTTGAACACACACGCGGGCACGAACAGCCACACCTCCGCGACCCACAGCCACACCCCCGCAAGTCCGGCACTAACGGACGTAAACAACCGCAACCTCGCAACTCCTCGCACACGGTCGGCCGTAAACAATCGAAACCTCGCAAACTGCCGTGGGCGCACGCACACACACGCACACACACAGCCACACCTCCGCAACTCACGCGCACGTGGACATAAACAGGCACATCCCTGCAACACACGCTCAAACACTCCCTTAAAGTCAGGCACACCCAAGGGTGCACACAAGTCCGGCTCCCTGACGCCGGCGCGCCCCGGAGCCCACTCACCTACGGACCGGTGGGCACACACACTCCTCTCACACACACTCTCACACACTCACTCACTCACTCACTCACAGTCGCCCAACTCCAGCCCGCGGACCCAGGCGCGCCCAGCCCGCGCCGCCGCCGCCGCCCCCGCCCCCACCCCATCCGGCCCCTCCCCCCACAGCTGCCGCTCCTCCCCCCTCCCCCCCGCCCGCCAGTCCGGCCACCCCGCGGGGAGAGGGGGGGCAGGGAGCGCTTTGTCCCCGCGCCGCCGCCGCCGCCGCCGCCGCCCGTGGGACGCGAGGAGCCCGAGGCCCCCGCGGGCGCGCAAGTTGGAAGCAGAGTCGCCAGAGTTCGGGGTGGGGCGGCTGGGGGGCAGCTGGCGAAAAGGAGGAGGAGGAGGAGGAGGAGGGCGCAGCGACGACAAGGACCAGCAGCAGCAGCAGCAGGAGGAGGAGGAGGCGAGGGCGCCGGGCAGGGCAGGGCAGGGCAGGGCGCCGGGGTAGCCCGAGCGGCGGCGGCGGCGGACGATGAACAAACTCTACATCGGCAACCTGAGCCCCGCTGTCACCGCTGACGACCTCCGGCGGCTCTTCGGGGACAGGAAGCTGCCCCTGACCGGCCCCGTGCTGCTCAAGGCCGGCTACGCCTTCGTGGACTACCCGGACCAGAACTGGGCCATCCGCGCCATCGAGACCCTGTCGGGTGAGTGGCCCGCCGACGGCTGCCCTGCGGCTCGCGCCCGTCGGAGGCTCCGCTTCCCCTCTTCCCACCTCGTCGTCGTCTCCGCTGCGCCCCGAGATCCGCTCCCTCACCCCGCCCGGCCGTCCCGCGGGCAGCCTTCCCGAGGGCGTCCTCCGAGGACCTGCCCCAGGCGCTCGCGCGCCGCTGCCCGCGCGGCCGTGGCCTTGACCGTGCCCTCCTGCCCTCTCGGGGCTCCCCCGAAGTCCCTCCCCGGGGCGCCCCGGCTCCTGCAGCTGTCTGACCGGTCCCGGGACAGCCCGGTTGCCGAGCGCCCTCCGCGCGGGCTCTCGCCGCTGGCCTGGGGACCCCTCCTCACCCTGGGCCCCCGCGCCCGGGTGGCACCAGGCCCCCACCCCCCGCGGGCCCCGGAGCGCTGGCCTCTCGAGCCCCCGCCTCCTCCTTCGCCGCCTCCGCCTCCTCCTCCTCCTCCTCCTCCTCCTCCTCCTCCTCCTCGTCTCTTGCTGGGCGCTCGGATTTTTCTCGGATTTTTTTCTCCGATTTTATTTAGAGCTGCCTCGGGCCGGGGGCGCCCCGGCGATGGGTCCCCCGCCTCCCGGGCGTCTTCGAGCACCTTTTTACGAGGTGCCCTGTCGGAACTCGGCGGGGGCCCCGAGCTAAGGCGAGCCAAAGAGGGGGCTGGGGGCCCGGGCGCGGAGCGCACTGCGGCCGGGCCGGGGCGTCCCAGCTGCACGCGAGAGCGCACCCGCACGGGTACACGCTCGCGGGCACACATGGGCACACGCGGGCACGGACCTGCGGGCGCTCCCCCGCCAGCGCTCCCACACGCGCAGACACACACACGCGCGGGCGGGCGGGCGGGCGCACGTTGGCAGAGAGCTGCGCCCGGCCGCTGGGCCCCGGGGGACGCGGAACACCCAAGGCCAGAGTGACACTGTGTCACGTTGGGGCATCCGGTTGTCCCCCACAAACTGAGAGCTGGAGAGAGAGAGAGAAGAACTTCAGCTCGGCCCCCAGAGCCTTTATTCCGATCCCCGAGTTAGCAGACGGGACGCAGGCGCCCCAAGCAGGGGCCACCAGCACACAGCATGGCTGCCCCAGCCCTGCGTTTTCAGTTTTCAAATGAGCTCATCCTTACAATTTGGCGGCTTTAAACAAAATAATTAATTTTTCTCTTGTGATACTCATACCACCCGTGGTTCTGGCTACTTGTGGTTGGAGTCCCTGGCCTGTGATGGGAAGAGTAGTTTAGTTTGTATGTACCCACCTGGGGCCAGCGCAGACAAAGTGCTGGCATGGGCTTGTCTGTGTGTCCCCCCCCCCCCCCCCCCCTTGTGGCCCAAGTGCAGATCCCGAGGCCAAAGCTGAGGGTGCTTCCTTAGTCCTCCCATTCACCCACCAACCCTGCCACCTCAGCCCTAGCTTCTGAGCCCCAAAAGAGATTCTGAAAGTTTTTTTCCTTCTCATTTTAAAGGTAAAGTGGAGTTACATGGGAAGGTCATGGAAGTCGATTATTCCGTCCCTAAAAAACTGAGGTAAATAAGTTTCGCTTCTCTTGTTTGTCTGGACTTTGGGTGGTTGGCCTGCAACCTGAACTCCAGCCTTCCTAGTTCTGGTTGATCTGTTGGTTGTGGGGGGGGTAGCAGAATTTATTCATGCGTTTTTCTTTGTTTTATTGGCAAAAGATGCTGGCTTTTTTTTTTTTTTACTTTCAATATATGAAGTGTCTGACTTTGCGAATCTATCTGGTGTCGAATTGTTAGGAGTAGTCTTTGGGATTGAGGGGGATGAAGAGAAGCTTCAGATAATGAAACCCTTCTTGTGATGTTAGATATTGGAGGGGGCTTAACACTCCCTCCCCCCCCCCCCCCCAGTATTTTATAGTCCCAATCCTTGGGCCTTTGTCAGGAATAAAGTCATGTATTATCAGCCCATGTTTCTTAGCTAAAGATTGAGACAGTTGGGTCTATGTCCATTCCTTTACCTAAAAGACAATTTGGGCGAGTAGTCGTTGATTTACAAAGTTAAAAGCAACCTCGGCGTTTCTTGAGATGGTGTGGAAACTCGGAGGCATGATTTCCTAGGGTGGGCCCTTGCTGAAGCTGGCCTATTTCTGAAGCCAAAAGCATGACTGGGGAGGGGTGGGGTGGGGTGGGTAATGGGACACCTACAGTTCTAAGTGCACAGAATTTAGTTCCTTCTAAGTCTGTGGAAGTTGTATTTAGAGAACAGTTATTTGACTTGTGAAATAGCCGTCCATTGGAATTGAGAGAGGAGGGGGAGGGAAGGGAGGAGAGAGACAGAGAGAATTAGAATGAAAATGAACATATCTTTTTCTCTTCTTTGTTACATTTCTTCACTTGCTATATATCTCCATTTCGTTCCTCTTCCCTTTGCATCCTGTTACAGTGCAGAGTTTGAGATTATAGTCATTTAAACCTTCCTAGGCCTCGGTTTCCACATCTGTAAAATGAGGGGATTGGACTAAATGAGTGCCTCCAAAGTCCCTTCAGGCCCTAAGTCTTTGATCCTGGATTTTCCTGTTGCCAGTAATTATCAATTATCAGCCTCATGGTAGAACTTTCTTGATTTTGCCAAGAGAGGCTCAGAAATGAACCGGCCAAATCTGCCAGATGCCCCCTGCTTGAAGGGTCCAGGTGGCCTTCCAAATTGTGGGCTACCCTCCCTTTTTGATACGTTGCTTTTTAAGCCAGCGTTATCTATATATGACTGCCTGTGACTAGAAGAATTAGTAGTGTATTAAAAGACAAAGACTCGGTGGCTTGTGAAAGGAAAAGGTTATGATTTGTAATTAATTTAGTGTGAGAATGGTAAAGTGCCCCCTCTGGAAAGAAGAGAGGGCCCTCTTGCTGGCCTGTGGGACTTGAAATGGCAATCTAGGGTCCTGGGCCTCCCAAGTCAGGGGCCCAGAAGACTCCAAAGATCCAGCCCCTGGGTTGGAGGATCCCACCCAGCGACCACTTGTTAGATTAGCCATTAATGGCTCCAGAGCTCTGCACTGTGCTTTTAATTGCCTTAAGTTAAAAAAAAACAAAAACAAAAACAAAAACAAAGGTCGATTGCATTTTTAATTCTGAATGTGCAGTTATTGACAGATATTCAATGAAACTAAAACCAGTCTGTCCCCAGGATGTACAACCTTCTCCTGAAACGCCTTTTTCTGTTGGCGTTCTAGGCTTGTTTTTGTCTCTCTCGTTGGCTCCCCTCTCCCACCCCTCACCCCAAATGCATAGAAATGTTGCTTTTGGAGCGGTGGCGTCTAAGTCAAGCATTCGGTCATGTGACCCGGGGGCCAGCTGGCCTGGCCACGGCCCAGGTCATGGTATATGCAGAAAAGTTTTCCACTGCTCCCAACGTGAACTGGATTTCTGTGTGGATGTGGGCTTCCCCAGTGCTCAGTTTAAGCCCTGGGTGTGATTCACTTCCAACATACCATTTGAATGCATAAGCCCTGAAGCCTGGTGGTTTTTCCTGGAGTTTTGCGTTTTCTTATTAGTTGATTTGAATTTCCCCTGGACTTAGTGATTAGTTGGGAATGGAGGATTTGGGGGGCGAGGGTGGCTGGTGATGGCCCGTGGCACGTTCCTGAAATGCGTTCGTGGGTGGGAGCCGGGCTCCTGGATCCTTCTCCTGAACCCCAGTGGCCTTGAGAGTCTGGGAGGCAACTTTCAAGTTTTCTTTTCTCTCTTTCCCTTGTTCTGTGTGCTCGTGTGTATTCATCCCTTCTGGATCACTGAGAAAAACGAGCAAGTGAGAACACAGATTTGTGATGTTGAATCCATCCTGTGTGGATTTCTTTTATTGACTTTTCCATACGCCTGTGTGCATGTGTTTGTGTGTGACGGTTGAGGTGATCACGGACACAGTAGCATTCTTTTTGCTGGCCTAGGATGCCAGGACCTTGGTAGGGTATATAAGGTTTGGTTTTTAAAATTCATTCAGCTGAGGAGCGTGGGCCCCTTTGGATTCTCAGATTTAAATGGTGGCTCTTCCTTATGTCCAGCTGCTGAGGCGGTGGTTGATGTACAAAGCCACACACGTATGTATATGTATGTGTATATCTGTCTGTAGCTAGCTGTCTCAGTACATCAGAAAATGGATTTGAAATTTTCGATTCAAAATTGCAGGAGTAAATATAGGACTTGTCATTTGTGCTTTTTGCTGATGTTCTTGTGTTGTTTAGTATTTTCTCATAGTTTTGTTGTTTTGCATTTTTTTTCATCAAATACAAGTTCTGCAATTATATAAAAATAATGGAGAAACGTGCATCCCTTTCTTTTGTTCTCTGCCTTGGGTTGCAGACTGAGTTGAAATAAAAGTAAAATAACCTTTGAGTCTTTTCCTCTCTTCTCCTCCCTTCTCTCCCCCCCGCCCATGACAGTATTTGGTTGGGTCAGTTTTTGCCATGGGGTATGTTCAGATCAAAGGTGCCCGAAAGGGAGAGGACTGATAAGCTTTATTTGTGCTGGGCAAAGCTGGCCTGCCCCTCCTCTGATAGAAGTTTCACTTTACGTGCTGCTAACAATTTTGTTCAAATCTAGTACACAAATTTGTTTTCGAGAAGACATTCTGGTTTGAGTGTTTCTGTGGCCAGTGTTGGAGGGAGCCTTCCAGAAACAGTAGTGGGGGGGGAGGGGACCATGGTTCCCCTGGACTCCAACCCCCCCCCCCCCACCTTTTCGGGAGAACCCAGAAATCGGGTACAGACATGACCCAACTGGGGAGGGAGGATGTGACTCCTGGGAGGTGTTGGAGGAAAAAGCTATGAATTTGTCTTTCATGATTCTTCAAAACCAGTAATTGTGTGCTCTCCCATGCAAATGGCCTTGGTCTCCTATAGGAATGTTAAAGAAAACAGTGTCCCAATTGTGTTTTGCTTGTATGTACTACATTGTGTATGGTGGAATTAAATACCAAAAAGAAAAAAAAACCCTCACAACCCCAGCCCCAGCCCCCAAACAAACAAACAAAAATCCCCAAACCTTTTTGCAGATCCGTTTGAAATGCACTAGCAGAGCAGAGGAAACCTCCTTTGGTTCCCAAGGATGTTCGGCTCCTTTTCCAGAGTTTGTTGAATTAGGAATTGTTAATGCCAGAGGGAGGAGGCGGATGGGATTGTATACATCTTCCAACCCAGGGCTATATGATCATTGTAATTTGGTGTTTGAATTGGAATTTGTCCTCAGTCCAGCCTGAAAGAGGAGGGCTCCTTCTTTCCCTCATGTCTTCCTCTGCCTCTCCATAATGCAAGAGGGAGTTATGAAATGTTTTTGTCAGTTCGGGAAGTCGCTTTTTAAGTATTCCAAACTAAAAAGGAAAAAATACTAATTGTTTGTGTGTCGTGGAAATGTGAGTTTGCAATGCCAGTTTATTGTGCAAAGGGAAAGAAAACACCCTTCTCAGTTTATCATTTTATGTGATTTAGTGGAAGACAAAGAAAATAATTGTCCCAACAAACTGATTTCCCCTAGAGAAATAAGCAAGTGAAATCCACTTCATAAGATTTCTGCCTCACCATTCACTCAGGCCCCATCCCATTGCTGCCGAAATTCTGTCTGTGGAAGTCTTGCATGCATGGCCCCTTTAAATTTCTCCAACTGTGAGGATTGACTTGAATAATTCCATTCTTTTCAAATGGTGACTTTCTGGCCCCGGGGGACATTGTTGGTTCGGGAGGACGACCCCCAAGAGCAGTCTGGAGGTTATCTTTATTTTTGACTCTGTTCAGTTCAGAGGACCGTTCTGAAAAGGGGAAAATGAGCAAAACTCATTTTACTGCCATTTGGAGATTTGGAATTATTCTCATTGTTTACCATGAAAATTTCCAGAACCTTTTTCGTGAATTTCATGAATAGAGCTTTATGGAGATTTCCAAGGTTGAGGTGTATGTCTAAATAATTTTAAAAAAATAAAACTTGAGGTGATTTAGAAGCAGATATATCCCAAAATTAGTATTTCCCTCTTGTTTTTGGGTAAACCACCGTATTTTACTTACGGAATGTGCACTGAACTTTGAAATGGAAAAATAGAAATACATTCACTCTAGTCCTGACAGTCTACTTATTAAAGTGAAATGAGCAATCATAAGCATGAATTTTTGAAAGGAGACAATTGATGCTTTTTAAAACAGATTTTGTTTTTTAAATTTCTAAATATTTGCTATTGGAAACTCAATCACAGCCTCAGGTATTCAGACTTGTCTTCCCAAGAAGATGAGCCACTAGTCCAGTGTGGGAGAAGATATCGCTGGAGTCCAGGGTGGCATTTCTATGATTTATGTTTTATGGCAATCACTTAAGGGGAGAATATAGTTTTAAAAAATTAAGTTGAGGGGCTGAGTTGAGTAGGAGGTGGCCTACATTTCAGGACAGGCGGAGAAAGTAGTAAATAGCAAAATGACCAGAGACTCCACCCAGTGATGATCATGTTTGTACTCAAGTTTTAGAGTAGCAGAAATTGGTTGGTATTGGTAAAGGATTGGAAGCTCCTTGAGGGCAGGGGCTGCTTTCAGTTT